TCAAGTTGATCTGATTCAATTTAATTTTTGAAATTTTTAATAAATTATTAAAAGGAAAAAATTATAACAATTTATATTTCTCAACTATTTTTTATCATATATACATGTTTTTTTATAAAAAAATAAATAATATAAAAAATTACAAAATGCAATATAAACATAGCGGCAAATGGGGATATTAGAATGGGGTTGATCCAAATTCATTCGATTTTTAATCGAATCCTATTATTCAATCCTATCTAATATGAAAATCTAACAAGGGGATATTAGAATCCGACAAAATATGATTATGTTTTGGATTGGATCGGATCATGACCTAATCCATCTTAACCACTAAAGGCAATTGAGCACATTGCATGACCGACCAGTACAAGTAGGTTCCCTGTGGCCATAGCAGCAACAAGATGATGCTCGAGATCCACCGAACAGGAGACTAGCCAACATGAAGCCCCCTTCGATGACCTCTTAAGCCAAGGCTAACTTAGTGGAGGATGAACACAACTAGTCCCAAAAACTAGGTCAAAAAACCGAATGTTGGTGAGGAACTCAAAGTCATGCGAGCTCGGGCCTCAGTGATTGAGGGAGGAAGATAGTTTCAACTCAACATCGGACATCGGATAGTGGTTATCAAAGGACCCTCCCTTCATTGTGCACATCTGAAATGGGTCGCTCTTGGCCAACTTCAAGATGCTAAACATACATGCCTATAACAACACAGGAGATCTCATAGGCCACCTGAAAAACTTCAGAGCCCTCATTCTCCTAAAGGGCTACAACGAGCCAATCACCGGCGAGGTCTTCCAAGCGACATTCATATATGCAGATCGGCAATGATTCTTTAAATTACCACTTGAGTCGATTGGGTCATTGGACCAATTCGCCAACCTGTTCATGATCTACTTCGTTAACAGTGCGACATATAGAAAGATCGTGATGTTGTTGATGGCAATTAGGTAGTGACGAGACGAGCCACTGCATGACTAGGTCAAAAGTTTCAATGTCGAGGGCTCCTCAGAGGTGAGGGACCTTGACCCCTCCCTTGCAGTGGCCACCATCATCAATGGCATTTGAAACAAAGAGTATAGATTTTCCTTAGAAAAGAAACCACCAAAAAATATGGCTGACCTCCTTCATTGAGCCGAGAAGTACATCAATGCTAAGGAAATGCTAGCACACCATTGAGAAATAGAATAAGATAGATCGGTTTCTAGAAAGAGAGATAGAGACTGAGATGACCACAAGGACAGGGACAATAATGGCCATGGAAGAAGCTCATCCCAAGCCAACAACCTCAGGTGAACTCCAAAAGCCCCAATCTATAACCATTACACCCCGTTGAACACTTCACGAATGAATATCCTACTCGAAGTTTATGATAAATCCTTCCTCAAGTTGCTCAACAAGCTCAAATCCAACCAGGGAGATCAAAAAAAGTATTGTAAGTTCCACCGAAGTCATAGTCATGGGCATAACACCAAGGACTATCAAGAGTCAAAAACAAGATCAAATACCTCATCCAACAAGGATACTTCAATGGATACATCTCTCATGAGCACTCTAAAGAAGACGAGCACCAAGAGTGGGAACCCAATTTACCCTAACAAATGGACTTTGCAAAGGTAAAAAGGAAAACATCAATAAGCACAATAGCTCGAGATTACCGATCTACCCTAACAAAGACTTCAATTGCCAATCCTAGCCCATGAATAACTCCAACTCGGCCAACCTAATCTTTTAATTGGCTTCCTACAGCTCGGCCTTCCACTTTGTCACCTTGGCCTTAAATTTGACCTTCTCCCTCTTCACCACATTGTACTAGCAAGTAGCAAGACACGTGGGTGAGCCGATCACTCAAGGTATTCACCGCACAGATCCCTACAAAGGACAAACAAGTTAAAACCACAACAAACTCAACTAAACATAAAAGCAAAAAATTAAGGTCGCGTTTGGCAAATCTTTCTATGTAGGCTTCCGACTGTTTAGAAGCTCGGAAGCCTGAATTTTGGGCTTTTCCAGTTTGGTAATGGAAATATCAATTGGGAAAAAGCTCTAACCCATAAAAGATGTCAGCAGCCCGAATTTGGGCTTTTTCAGGAAGCTTTAAATGAAGCTTTTATAATGTTTTAATGCCCCCGTCTTCTTCGAACGTGTGGGCTTGGGAGAAAATGGGTTATCTTTTCACAAAAAGACTATTTGAATGTGTAAGTGGGACCTACCAATGATATGTGGGGCCCACATTGGAAAATGTATATGAGGCCCGCATTAGGTATTATGTGGGACCCGCATTAGGTATTATGTGGGACCCACATTGATACATGTCCACACATAGACCCCACATGCATGTCCAATGGTATGTTGGGCACGCCTTGTAAAATGTACGTAGACCCCATATACATGTCCACCAATGGTATGTGGAGCCCACCTTGTAAAATGTGTGGGCCCCACATGCATGTCCACACATGGATCCCATATGCATGCCAGTCAATGGTATGTGGGGCCCTCCTTGTAAAATGTATGTGGGCCCCACATGCATGTCCACCAATGGTATGTGAGGCCCACCTTGAAAAATGTATGTGGGCCTCACATACATGTCCACCAATGGTATGTGGGGTCCACCTTAGAAAATGTATGTGGGTCCCACGTGTTAAATGAAAGGTGCATTGGCCCACACACAAGACATTCACATATACATAACACATATTTTCATCACATTACCAAACAGTCTTCTAGCTTTTATAGTCTTTCATGAGATCTATGAAAAACATTTCAACCAAACAGTCTTTGGTCTTCCAAGATCTATTTGCAAAAGCTTACCCTGTCTTTTAACTATTAGATCTTGTAACAGATCTTCTGGAAAAAACTTGCCAAATAAGCACTAAATTACCAATCTTGCTAAAGGACCTCAATCCTATGCTCTAAGGCCTCAACCCGATCTACAAGGGGGAAACCTCCAAGCAAGCACTTCGATGACCCAAGCATCCCAGACATTGTCGCCCACAATCATGAACCATTCTAGCACGTACATACCCAACAAGCCTCACCCACAATGACCGGCTCATCATCCAAGATCTTGACTTTTTCTCTCAGCTTCTTCTGCCGAGGCGTTGCAATCGAACTCACAAGTTGAGCTCCCAAGGTGCCAGCTTCCATTCGGGAAATGCCATGCCTCCCGGTTACACACAGATGAACTCCTTCCAAGTTCCAACCATGAATAAAGGAGGGAGTCCCAAAAAATAGTACCACACCCTTGACTGATAGTGATTCTTCAAACAAAGCCTAAAACACCCATGCGTTTAGCCCAACCTAACGAGTTTGGTACTAGCTGAGAGATCATCACTCGGTTAAGCATCAAAATAAATGCATATAACTTTATTTTATATGACATAATATAAAATACTACATTGTAAGTGTCATATTATAATATTTATACAAAATACATTACATATACATTCCAAACAAGGCAAAAAAAAAATATAAAAAAAAAAGTGCCTCAACCCAAGGTTCAAAGTAGATACTTTTTGACATGCAAAAAATACATATATAGAATTCTATTAAATCAACATAGATGCATACATATATATATATATATATATATATATATATATATAATACGCTGAAAAGTATTGATAATTTGATCCTTGCTTCAACGTTCAACGGTCAAACCTACTTTGATGGTTTTCCGATTGGGTCTCGGCGGCAATCACACAAAGAAAGTGTGCGTTTCCGATTTCTCTTCAGCTCGTTTCTTTTTGAAGCGAGATTTTCTCACTTCTCAAGTACATGTTTCTTGCACGGTTGCATCTGATCTCATTTTCAAATTGGACCATTTCTTTCAAAATAACAGAACCATGTTTCAGTTTATGAGATATGCAAGAAACAATAGAAGCATTTCTTCTGGTGCTGCAACTTAGGTTGTGTTTGGGTTAAGGTTAGGATTGAAAAATATGAACCCAACTTAACTTCAAGAACTTAGCTTCTATAATTATTATATAAACATGCATTTATTTAAGTAGTATAAATGCATATATGCTTGTATAAAGATATGCAACAATGCATACATACATACCTACATCCTAAACCCTTGATTATAGAAAAAGGAACATTTGACATATGAAAATGGAGAAATTGGGCCACTCCGAGTCCAACCCAATCCCAACTCTGGGGTTCAGCAGATTGGGGTGGGTTAGGGCTGACCTCAACCCGGCCTGGCACGCACCCCTAACTTCTYCAGTGTGATGCCAAATGTGCTTCACTACAACACTGTCGTAGACTCGTAGTGCAGGGCTTAAAAAGAAAGCCATTGCCTTAAATGTACTACAGTGGCCACACCAATAAATCATTTCATCTAATTCAAGGTGGGGCCATGAAACAAATCAAAGGCGGCTCCTATCGTAGCAAATGTGGGTTGTACAAGCACGGTTCACATGTCGGGCCATATCGGTTTTTATTTTTACTTATTTATTTTTTTCAAAACCGGTTCAAGGGGGCAGTTTAAAGCTCCTTCACCCTTCGAACTGGTCAGAATCCCGATACACCCCTTATAAGGGCGTATCAGGGAGCTTCCGAAACAATACATATCGGCCGATACAGATCAATACATGTTGATACTTTGAACCATGTGTTTTACAAGTAATTTTTGATAGGTAGGGTTCTATAAGTAATTTGCTCATGCTAATCTTTGATGCAGCCATTACCTTGGATGTAATTCCTGACTATTGTAACATTGACAAGTGGCAAGATATGAAGGTGCCAGACCCATAACTCCAGACCTAAGACGCTCCATCTTCATAATGTTGGCATGCCTATGCTGCTGTGCCATGACTGTATATGTTGTACTTCCCACCAACCACACACCATGAAAAATCAATCCAAAAAGAAAAGGAAAACAAAATTTGAATATACCTATAGTTCGTCTGGGAGGCGGCCAGCCGAACTATCCCAACAGACCACCGGAGAGCAGCCACATTTCTCTTATTTTCCTTCAAATGGACAATGAACCATACGTTGTAATGTTGTATGATAACAATTGCCATTTTTTCTTATCCTTAAATATGCTGCTTGATTTTTTTTTCAAGGCTATAAACATTCATTTTGTAGTCTATGTCCCATAAAATACACGAAGTGAATCACATTATTGATTACAAAAATGCATATAATACGGTAAAAAGGTAAAAAAAAAAAAAAACATAAAGCAACTACAGTAATGAGTTTAATCAGGAGCTCGGTACCATCTCCCATATCTTTATGGTCCCATCATCACTTGCAGATGCTAGAAGCCGCTGTTCCTGTTAAATTTTCAGAACAAAAGAAAGCAGCAAATGCTATGTTATGAAATTGACAAATTATCTAGAGTTCAACTCAGGTGCATTTTGAATATTTGCTGTATAATAAATAAAGTTCCAACCAATCACGTTAAAAATGCCAAATGGTCCTCATTGGTTCATGTTTCATAAGGTGTACTTACCATTAAAGACTTCAACAATATTAAAGATTAAATTTTGATGTATCGCTTTATTATTGGTCCAAGTTTTTTGCTTCACGATGCAGTTCATGCACCATATATGTTGTCAATTATCTAACTACAGAAGTGCAACCAAAAAGATATAATGATGCATGGAATAATGATCTTTTGCACAAAGTACAACAATCATGCACCTAAGAGATAACTCAATGTGGCATCTTCCATTACCTCGGTTTAACAATTTGTATGGAGAGATTGAGGACATCACCCATAGAATTAGAGCAGGATGGGTAAAATAGAGTAGTGCATCCAGGGATTTAAGCAATGGGTGAATACCACTTTGGCTAAAAGAAAGCTTCTATAGAACAGTTGTAAGGCCAATTATGTTGTATAGAGCAGAGTGTTGGGCAGCTAAGAAGCATGTCCATAAAAGAAACATGCCCAAAAAATGAGTGGCAGAAATGCAAGTGCTTAGATGATGAGTGGAAAAACTAAAAATGACAGAATTAGAAATCAAGTCATATGAAGGAACTTAGGAATAGCTCCAATAGGTGATAAAATGAGAGGAAGTAGTTTGAGATATTTGGTCACATGCATAGAACATCTACAACTCCTGTTAGAAAAGGTGATCTGCTACAAGTTGAAGGAGCTAGAAGAGATAGAGGAAGACTAAATATGACTTGGGTAGAAGTAATAAGAAATGATTTAAGTACCCCTAATTTAACAACAGATATGTCACTGAACAGAACAGAAGGGCCAAATAGGATTCATGTAGCCAACCCCATATAGTTGGGACAAGGCTTAGATGAGCTAAGGAATCCTTTAGGATGGGGCCCATCAACTGGGCTTTCAGATACTGTACCCATACAACCTTTCCCAAGTATGAATAGTGGAGTTGTGGCACAGCTTACCTTTGGGCTCCATTGAACTGAATTTACGTCCATATCATGGGCTTTTTCCTTCTTCAGCAGCATTTTATATGAAGGTCCATCTACCTGTTTAACAGTGAATTAACAATGTTAAGAATGCCTTCTCTAACATCATTGATAAAATGTCAATAAGATCCATAATGAAAAAGAGAGGGAACATAAACAATAGGCCAATTCAAGGTTAAAAACATAGTTGTCAAGGCGATGCCTGGCAACAAGGCGCCCTTTGAGGCTCGCCTCGCCTAATCGCCAAAGAGTTTTGTACTATGTATTATAAAATATTTTTTATTCTTTACTTTTTGACTTTATAATTATAAAATAGGCACTACTAAACTAAAATATTCATTGTGCTTATATACTAATTTCTTTTTATTATTTTCTTATTTGTTAGGGTTTTATCAATATAAACATTGCTAAATGCTGTATTGAACCCCCAAAGGCTTTAAAACCTGAACCAATGAGGAAGAACTTAAAATTGACTAATCAACACATTTTGTCTAACATGAACTCTATACTTTTATTATGAAAATTATGAATAATTCTTAAGGAAATATGGTTATAGTACCTAGGGAACTACCCTAGGATCTATGCTTTCTACATAAAAAAGTCCATCACCTAGGCGACTAGGCGACAAGGTGCCCCCTTGTCACCTAGCCTCACCTTGGCGCCTTGAAAACTATGGTTCAAAATTTTATTACGTACACCAATACACTAAATAAGAATGCTTTGGGGGTTTGACTTATTCAGGGGGTAGACAGGCCTAAGACCTAGGTGTGTCAATGGACCGGTTTCGGGTTGGACTCCATCCAATTTGAAAGTGTTATGGACGGATTGGATGGTCCAAATGATTGTATGGACTCGGACCGGTCCAAATATAAATGGTCCATATATATTGCAGACCAAATTTGGACATAACCGTTGATCGAAAGGGGTCTGGTTCCCGTTTGAAGATTTCAGAAATTTCTTCAAAGACTTAGGGTTCCATTGCTCCCTCCGACGATTGAACAAACAAACGTACAAGGTTTTCTCTCCGGCGATATTTCCAGCAGTTGCGAAATTGAATCCAATAACCAGCAACAACCGAATCTCTTTCTCCCATTCCCACCTCCTTTCCCAACTTTTCTTATCAAATTCCTCTTTCTTAACATTTATTCTCCTCCCTGCATTTCCCAGACACCCAATTGCTCCCTTGTTCTGTTTTCATCGCCGGTTGAGCAGCGACCTCAGTTGCAGCGGCAGCTTAGCCACACCACCCTTCTCTTGGATTCAAAGGGACATGCATCCAAAGCATCACCATCTCTCTCTAAATCTTATGGTTGTGAGCCACCCGGTCGCCACTGCTATTCAAAGAGAACGGTCCTGAACGAGGAAAGCTTTGGTTCTCTCCGTTGCATTGTTTGAATTAACACCGAAATACGATTCAGGTCAGTTACATCCTAGTCATAGCTTCCTCAGTTTTCTAACTCCTCTTTTATTCTTGTTTTTATTTTCTTTTATTTTATTTATTTTGATATGAAAAGGCAGAGATCTGGGTGGTTTCAGAATCAATAATGCTATTGAATCGGTTTCCTTAAAATCTTTAATTAAAACCGACCCAGACTTGCCGAAATGCATGACGTTGTGCATTGAATGTTCAGGTTTCTGCAAATAGGATAGTCTTTTTTTGTTCTTATGCATATGTAATCTCTGCAATTTTCTTTTCTCTCATAACCTGCTTGCTTCAGGTAATTTCTTGTTATGTTTTCTCTGAGGATTAAATTCAATTTCTTGTTTCAAGGTTAAAGAAGAGACTTCAATAATCAGCCGTTTTCAATAAACAGATGATTCTGTGATTTTTCTATCATAAGAGTTGTAATTTGTCCAATAGGAAAATTCATATTGGTTCCAATATCCAAGATTTCGTATTGTGAAAAGCAGGGCAAAATAGAAACCAATTCACTTTGGATAGAGAAGCCATTAACATGAAGTAATGCAACAAGATTTAATAATAAAAAATGATGCATGGTGATTGGTGTTGAAATGTGGATGAAAGGAAATAGCATGTAGCACCAATCATTTACATAAAATAAATAAATAAATTCAATACTGAAATTCAAATCATAAAAACATACAACCGCACTAAATTCAAATTCGATTTTTTTTGTCAAAAACTGATTTAACCAACATTAGCCATATTGCAAAAAAATAAATAAAGACTGAACAAGGAGGATAATGCATTAAAAGACAAAATTGTAGCTTACGTGGAGGGAGAGAGAGATATGTAACAAAAAGATAAAGTGACTTGAACCAATTGCCTAGTGTATACGAGTATATTTGTATTGTGTGTTTAGGGGAGGGAGTGGATTGGTTGAGACTTGATGGTTTTGGAAATAACAACTTCTGATGAATTAACATGAACAAGCAGCAAAGATGTTAGGTTGAATGAAAATAGAAAAAGATTGGTAAGTAATAAGGACTTGCTTCTAGCTAACATGAAGTCAAAATTCAATTTGACTAGGCTGTGAGTTGATGGATTCCATTCCTTTAGAGCTAGAGATCTAGCTGTTCTTGAGGATGTTGCATTCCACCAACCCCTAAGAATATTGTCTGTTGAGAATGGTGGAAAAACTCTCAGTATGAAGAATTAAGAATTACTATTTATGTTGTTGCATTTAGCATATATTGACCCTATTTGAATCAAAACCAATTTGGACGGGTTAGACGGTCCAATAAGATAATGTTGAACTGGACCAATGCAAACCTAATGGACTTGGTCCATCTGTAATAGATTCATATTGGACTGGATCAGATTGGACCAATATCCAATCCATTGACAGCCCTATTTGTAAACAATCAGATTGGACTGGGTTGGGTTGAACCAATTTCTAGTCTCTTGATAGAAGATAAGATTGGGGTTGTCAATGGACCATGTTTGGGTTGGACACTGTAAAGAGATTGGGCCGAACGGGTCCTAGTATCTTCTCTTGTAATATTTTTTCTATTTTCCTGTTAGCTAATGGGCCTCTCTTAATGGGCCTGTTATTTCTTTTTGTTTGATCTCTTTATGTTACTGCCTAGCTAGCCGCCCACTTAAGGGCATACTTGTATTTATTTTAACATTAATTTTTAGTAAAAAGGATTAGAGAAGAAAGGGAAGGATTATTTGAACCATTCTTCTTCTTCCGCCTCTTTTCTCCATCTTCTTCTCCTGTACTGCTGCTCTTACTTTTCTTCCTCCTTTTTCTCTCTAATTTTTCATGTTAAAACCTATTTTGAGGACTGGTTTACATCTTGGTATCAGAGCAGGTTTCTTTCTTCCTTCTTTTCTTCTTCCTCTTTTCCCATACACCCTTAGATTAAGAGAGTGTACAGAGAGATAGGTTCTCTATAGCTCAGAGGATCTCTGGCCTAGTTGGTAGAGGGTTTGGAGAGTTTAAATCTGGCTGGATATTGCCAAGAAGTGGTGTTGTTCTGTTGCTGCCCAAAACCCTAGCCGACTAGAGATTTTCGAAGGTACAAGTAAAGGTGAAGCTTTGGGTGTAGTGCTCTATGCTTGGGAGGTGTCTTTTGACTCCTAAAGGAGGGCAGTTCAGGTTTAGAAGAGATTGGGAAGTTCTGGTAGGAGCGGCTGCATCTTCTCTCTTCCTCCCCAACAATTGGACAGAGTAAAACCCTAGTTTTCAAGCATGTGGGTTCTGGTTTGACTTCAAGTAAGTTTATATAGACCAAATTTCTGGTTCTTTGATTTTTGTTTGATTAATTGAGCCATACGAAAGTGAGTTCAAGCAAGTGCCGATTTCCGGCCTTGGCTCTGTACATTCCGTTTTGACTGGTGTGACCACAATCAAGCTAGATGGAACAAATTATCTTGCTTGGGCACAGTCTATAAGAATTTGTCTGTAGTAGAGGAAAACTCGGGTATCTCACAAGTAGTAAAGTGAAACCCGAAGAGACAGACCCTGAATTTGAGAAATGGATGTAGAAGAACTATACAGTCATTGGATGGTTGGTCAACTCTATGCAACCTCATATAAGTCAGCATTACCTCTGGATGTCTTCGGCTAAGGAGATATGGGACAGTGCTACTGAGACCTATTCATAGAAGTTGAATGTAGCCAGAGTCTACAAGTTGAAAAGTGACGTGAAGAACCTAAGACAAAGGGAGAAGAGTGTAGCAATCTACTATTCTACTGAAATCCCTATGGCAAGAAATTGATGTTATGGAGACAGTTGTATGGGAGAGTAAGAATGATGCTGAAATGTATAGGAAGTTGGTGGAGAGAAAGAGGGTGTTTGAATTTCTTACTGGACTCAACCCTGAGTTTGACATCATTAGGCAAAATATCCTAGCCAAAGATGAGGTTACTCTTTCCCAGGCATATACTATGATAAGCAGTGAGGAGAGTAGGCGGCAGGTTCAGTTACAAAGTCCACCTATAGAATACTTTGCACATGTTGGAATAAAGCCAAAGGGTCCTACTGAGATATGTGAATATTGCAAGAAACCGAGGCATACAAAGGACACTTGCTGGAAGTTTCATCCTGAGCTTCTTCCTGATAGGTTTAAGAATAACAACATTTCTAAGAAAGGCAGTCAGGTAGGAAAGCCTAAGATAGCTAATGTTGTTACAGTACCTGAAGGAGGAAATAAGGAGAGTGAAGAAAAATCAATCATTGAGCAGTTGGCAACAATGAAGGTGGATTTTGAAAAGTATGGGAGGATGCTAAATCACTTGGAAGCTACTGTTTCTTCATCTCACTCTTCCAGCAACACATCATCATCATCTGCATTTGCTCACTCAGGTATTCGTGCTTCTGCAAATCATACTTTAGTTTCAGGTAATCATAAAATCCCTCGGATTATTGATTTCGGTGCATCAGACCATATGACCAGCCTGTCTAATCTCTTCTACTCATACCACCTTCTCTCTAGTAAAGAGAAAATATCCCTTGTTGATGGGTCTCTTGCTTCCATTTCTGGTAAAGGGGATATAAAGACCTCTGACACCCTTTATTTATCCTCTGTCTCATGTCCCTAAATTTAATACAAACATTTTATCTGTTAGCGGTTTAATTAAATCCATGAA